CGCGAATACCCGTGATCTATCGCCAAGGCCGGGCACTCGATATACGAATGCTAACACAACCAATCACCTGTGCTCCTGTGTTCTCCTGTGGATCACTGAGGCTCACTGCTCAGGGTATTCCAGAGGGCCTTTACGACCAATCTGCAAGATACAGAAAACAAACTAACATGAACCAAAGGTCCAGTGAGACATGCGCACGGTTCACAATCAAATCCAAATAGCTGCGCTTCGGCTGCGCATTCCATTGTAATGTTTCATTATTGCGTAAGCGAAGCAGGCATCGATAAACCGTAGCCAACTATTCACAATTAATTTGATTATATATATATATATAAGCTGGGTTCTGTTCCAACCCACGCAACACGTGTGACACGCTTTCGTTTTGCTACTGTATTTATTTGCTTGCAGCGTTCAGACGTCACATAGATATATTCGGTATTTCCTAGTACCACGACCCTGCCAACACAGCGTCACACTTTGTGCTCCCGGTTCGCTCCAGAATTCGCACTTTCTAAATGAGACCTATTTGAGCCCAAGTGTACGTTTATAGGATTTTAAAAAAAATATACAAATGCCTCCCTGTCAATAGTTGTCATATTTATCTACATGGTATTCTTTGAAGTGACTGTTTGTTTTAATTGATTGCAAGTGAAATCGATGGTGGGCCGCCATTATCATTTTGTTCTTCGCTTGTGTGCTTCGTGCTATCGTTCACCGCAGTTTAGTTCTAATTTGTTTCCATTGTGTTACTCGTCGTATTTGTTCGTAAATATTTTCAATATGCGAAAACCTCGTCATTCATTGATTAAAATACCTCGTGGAACACGTAGACGGACCATTTATCGACAGTTGCAGAGTTATTTCCCGACGGAACCGACCGACCGCAACCTGAGATGCCAATGCAAGAATCAGACAACGAAAACCAACAATCCCATGGTCAGTAATATATATTGTACATAGCTCTATTTGCTTTTAGGTTCGTAACTCACATTTAGCGTATTGATACGCCAATAAACGTCTACTACCACTATTAGTATTTTTGTCCACCTCGGGCAACGAAACACTAGGTCGCGCGCGTAATTTGAGGTTCATAAGAAGTCTTATCCGCAGGCCGTCAATTTCGATAAGCTTCAAGTTCTTCCAGCTCAGTCCCGAGCTCCATACACTGCAAGCAACACTGAATGACTGCAATCATATTATAAATAGACCAGACATAAACAAGCAACTCATCACACTATCCTAATTCAGTCCTCACGATGAGGTAAACACATCCACCCGAGGAATACCTTTATTCATCTGTCCTGTGCAAACTGAACTGAACTGAACTGAACTGAATTCTATGAACTATTATTGCCCAAATTTAGCAGTTTCCACTAACTGCATGTTTACCGCGTGGTTTCAATTTTTTAACTGCTCTGTTACCTCCGATTTTATTTGCGTTGAGTAGTGAAATAACCTGAGTTATTTCACAAATTTGGCGAATCTTAGTATTAACTAAGGTTCATATTGTTTCTATTCGGATAATTTTCCTCTCCGGTAAGTTTTTTTTACCATGGAGCGTTTTCTCCGTTCTACCTGTGTCACTTTAGTGTGGTCCTACCGATTTTGCAGTTTTTCACTGAAAAGGTTAGGCTTCTATCTCTCTGTGAAAGTTTTATTTTTGTGTTGTGCATACTCATTCTGATTCGTGGAAAGAGGACTTGCATATTGGCTTGCCAGTTTGACCCGAATACATTTGGTAATAAGGCCTGTGGTTAAGCCATGATTTCTGGTATCCAGTGCGATAGGTTCCAGGATTGGTACCACCAGCAATGGTCGGCCTTAACCAAACAGGACTAGCAACTATACACTAAGCATGAAACTCTGAAACGGGTGTGTACATGATGTGTCTTGTTTGATGAAAGATGCGCTCGCTTATCGCTAAGCTCCCTTCGGCCACAGACAAAAGATGAAAATTCTAGGCAGAACCAGCTCTCCCGAAATGCTTCGCAGGGAAACGCCAAGTGTGAGCGGGCACCGGCTACGGGTATTCAATAGCAAACACCCAAGGGAAAAAAGCGGATAAAGAAGCAGTCTGAGGCTAGCTTGGATGCACTAAGGAAGCAAGTAAACGATTTGAAGACAGAAATGGCGAAGATGACGATCATCACCGACGGGGTCTTGGCAAGGAGCAGAAGACTTCTGTTGAACAACTGCGCAGAACCGGTCATGAATGATGCAAATGTTAGAAGAGAGATGAACCACAGGCACGTAGTGAACGCCTTTAGACTGGCAGGGCTGCCACCAGACACAAAATATAGTAAATGTCACAGGATTGGACTTTGGAAGGGTCCCAAGGAGCCCCATCCACGTCCACTGTTGATAGTGTGAAGCTAACCGGAGTTGACGGCCTGCCGGTAAGTCTTCTTGCGAGTCTCAGTATGCACGCGACCTCCTAGTGTCTCGTTGCCCGAAGTAGACAAAAACACTCTTGGGAGTCGTAGACATTTATTGGCGAATCGTGGCACTAGATAGTACCAAAGCGTGACAAAGGGACGCTAAAGAATGCAAACAATAAATGCAGTAGCAGAGCGATAGCGTGTCACACGTGTAGCGTGGGTTTGAACAGGACCCAGCTTATATATACGCCTGAGCGGAAAACCGTGATCAGTGAAACAAGTAGAAGTAAAACAAAAAAATATCACAGTTGGAGTCAGAGTTGATTGTGAAGAGAATGTGAACGGAAAACGTCCTCGTGGATTGCTCCTTTTCTTCGTACAATCATGGTTACTACAATCTGATCCCGACCTACCCCATGGGACTTTTGGCTGCGGGAGAGTCCTTTCGCTACCTGTACGTTTTGTCTTTTAGCTAACTTCTACACTGAGCAACGTACAGAATTATTCAGTCATCGATATTTTTTTCTCTTTCACCTGTGTATCGATATATGCATGCAACTACCCCCAAAAACGTTTTTCTTTATTGTTTTTTTCACTATGGTTCCCGTTATTCTGTATGCATATATAAACATTGAAAACAAAAACAAACAAAAGCCTTGCCCATTGTTATTGTGTTTGTCTTCGCCTCACCGATCAACTCCAGCAAGGGCTGCTTCCACCTTCTTTCTTTCGTTGTCTTCCAAGC